TTCTACTATGTTGAACTTGATTTGCTTGCATAGCAAGAAGAACTATGAGTTTAAATAGTAACAATATAGGCATGACTCATCCTTTTCGAAGCTTTTTTCATATATTACTTGGTATGAAAATAATACTCTAAAGTTTATTCTAACTATAGGTCGAATGATTACTAAAAATATTTGATGGTAAAGAACGATAACAAATGTACGAAGTTAAGGCTCCATTACATTTTTCTAAATTAATTTGTTTGTGTTTTGGAAGAAAAATAAAAAATATTCTTTAGAATATTTCATCTTCATACTTAGTTTGGTAGCAAAAAAACATAGACTATACGATTTTAATCAGCTGGAACAATATTCAACTTCTTGTTGTTTATAAATATCAATCATGTTTCTCTTGACTGGTTTCATTATTGAGAGAAAGAAAACCTCGTAATAACGATAATAGGAGAAAAATAACTATGCATGAATCACTACATATATGTTTAATGGTGAAGATACGAATCTAATGAATATTATTTCTTCTCAGGTAAGTCACAATAGCTATGAAGAAATGTATTATGAGAGAAAAATATTGCAGTAAAACAAATATGATCTATGACAAAAAAACAAGCTAATCAATGTTATTAAAAGAAAAAACAAACAAACATGTGATCAATATGACTGTTTATATTATTGCGAATCAAAACAAATCATTTGTTATCAATCGTTAAAAGAAACTAAATCCACATTGATCAAAGACAATAAGATTTTTGTCAATGAGCATACAAGCGATTTTTTTGTTTTCTGTCTTCATATAATACAATAATAAAGTTTGAAAAAAAATCTTATTCATCAATACTTAGATATCATATCAAACATAATTGCGAAAGAAGAATTATGAAATGTTTGTTGTAGTAATAACAGATATCGAATCGAACTGAGTTTTATTAGTTCAAGTTCGATTCTATTCGTTTTCGATTGCTTATAATTAAAAGAAGAATGTGAAGGCATTACAGATTCTATTAACGTAAATATTTTGGAAAACATAAGCTGAAAGGATTGTTGAAGTATATAGGGTAACAAAATCAGAGTGGCTAGATCAAAAACTTAAAATTCAGAATCTTTTTTTTCAAAATTAAACAACCCTCAGAATTTTTTTTTTTGGGAAATCAGAAATAATTCATAAAAAGCATTGCTGTTATGCTCATATGTTGGTATCAAATGTTTTACTAATATTCTTTTTAATCGAGTTATACTTTATATTCAGAGGTATTCTACTGTAAAGAAACTGGACTTGAATTTCATTCACGAAAAATATACAAAAACAAACTAAATATACATCATGTAGATTAAGAAATTCTACAAAATAAAAAATAAGTCATATAGTATTGATTCGATATTATTGTTCATATTTTCAATCTTTCTATTTTGCTTTGATAACTGTGCTCAAATAAAAATATGTTTATAAGATTGTTCGCAACAATAGTTATACTATTCATTCTTATTTTAAATTGAACACCATTCGAGTAATGAGTTATAATCATATTTTTCGTCACTGAAGAAATTGTGATCTAAAAGAGTGCACAATTCGAAGCAATATGAGAAAAATCCAGCAGCAAGTATTCAGAAAAATTTTCAAAAGTCTGAAACTTTCCTTTTTTTTGTTCAGAAGATCTAGCCATCCTAGTTACAATGTACATTCTTCTCCTTCTCTATAGACCGTTACAGACGTTGTTGACATACGATCACAGACCATATATCAAAAGTGGCTCGTTGTAATATATTAACTATTTTCTTAATGTATTTGTGAAGAGCTGAGTAAAAAAGAATTGTAAAATTATAAGTTCAAAGATATGTAAAATACACCAATACATCATGTTTCACGTAATAATCTCATAGGAATTGCGATATTTAAAGAGAAAGTAATACAAATATTTTGAAACTTTGATCTAAGCAAATTGAATATATTGTCATAATTCGAAAGATTATTTGATGATAAAGTCAATCATTAATGTTATATTATTATCATACACTATTGAATTATTTTATTGTATTTATATTGTTTCGAAATTCATATTGCAATGGGATGATAAATATCTGAAATAGAATATTATTTCATGTCTTTATTAAAATTTATATATGTAAAAGTCTATACCATTATATTTAAAATTGCAAATGAGAAACGCTCAGCACGTTTTGGTAGTAAAGATGTTGATAAATACTTGGAATAAGACCGGATACTAAGGTGATAGTTATGAGTAAGAGTCATACGGTTTCGTTTTGATTGTTTCAATGAAGACAAATTTATTCTTTCGAAAATAACTTTTTTTTATAAAACTTGACTCAAGATTTTCAAAAGTAAACGAATCCAGATCTCTAATCGTCTTTTCGTAAGTCCTGAGTTCGATTTTTCGGTTAGTGGAAGTTTATTTCAAACAAATAGCTGAATGTTATAAAACGTAAGTAAACAGCTGAAAATAAGCTTCAACTGGTCGAAAAAATCAAATTCAAGAATTTTGAAACATCAATTAGAGTTCGGATTCGATGTCTTTCGAAAACCTTTACTCAAGTTTTATATAAATAAAAATATCTTTATTTTCGAAAAATAGGTTTATGTTCATTGAAAACATTGAATTGAAGTTATATGACATTCAGTTATAGCTGTCGCCTTTATTTTGAGTCTAATTTCAAATATATATCAGCATCTTGTAGCAAAACCTGATGCTTAGGCGCTGTATACCTACTCCATTTAATCTCAATAGAAAACGTATTTTATCCATTTATCAATATCAATGAACATTTAAAGATAATAATGAAAAAAACAAAAATTTTTATTGATACTGAATGGTAATCTTCTTGATTCAATTGATATCGATGTTATTGATTATAGTTTAAAGAAAACTGAATAAAACAACATATCTATTGCTATTTTGTCTTTATTTAAAATAGATATCAAGTTAGTTTTTCTTTTCTAAATTTTCAAGCAATCTGTTTATCTTTTATAGAAAATGTAAAATTATTGTGATAAAAACTTATGAATTTAAATAGGCTTACACATATATCCTAATTCTTGTATCTGTCACGATCTAAGAAATATGTATATATTGTCTAATCTTAGTTGATTTCACTGTTCGAGTTAAATACACATTATTTTAAAAGACATCTATACAATAGGAGTGACGTTTTACGAATTTATATCAATTATTATGAATAAACATATGTTTGTCGAATTGTGTCTCACTTACACTTTGATCCACATTGATAGTACGAAATCTGAAGTTTTAAAGATGATTGTTTTTTTAAATGAATTTGTATCAAGAAAAAAAAAACATTTTCAGTCATTGATATTGTTTGTCTTAAAGTAATTCTCTAATACTTTTGAAAACACTCAAATTCTTTTATTTTGCTGCTATTTCGAAATGATTCAGCTTTTTAATAAATCTTTGAGTTTTTCTGACTGTCATAATGTAAAAGATTAATCTAGTATGATCTAAAAACATTCATTAACTGATATTTCTCTTCAAATAAATTAATATATTTATCAATCTTACGTTGAATTAGTTGATCTATTCTTGTAACATAATCCTCAATTCAGTTATACTTTTTGAAAGAAAGAACCAAAATACTCCATTTTGCCAGGTTCAGACAGAAGATAATGATAAAATTGCAAATAAATCGAACATGTTTTGAAACAATCTTTCTATCTACATAGTGATCAATTTCAAAGAATAAAAAATCCTCTCAAGTAAATTTTGTTCATTCAGAAAATATTCAATTTTCTCACACAAGTAATCGATGTTATACTCATCATCGTTTTACTGTGCACAACATTTAGCAATATACTTATACACTACTATGTATCAAAATAGACTGAAGATATATAATAAGGAAAAAGAATGTTGTTGAATGAAAGATGGAAAAGAAATGTTTTAATGATTTACCTATTTTTTTCTTCTGTTGTTTCCCGATAACACGTTCATACGATGTAATGAATGGTGATTTTGAGGAAAGAAAAATCAGTTGTAATTTACAATTGTCAACTCCTCGAATAAGATTAAATATTTGTTGCAATATATAAATGACAAGTCGTTTAATGTCATTTTTTAAATTTATATTACAACAACTTTCTACATCGATATATAGTTTTTCAGATGCAGTGTTAAAATCAATGAAACAATAAAAAAATATTTATTTTTCTTAAAAATCAATTGAAATTGAATATTATGAAGATATGTATTAAAATTTAGTCCTAGAAATTACTAAATGAAAGAAAGTCATCAGTTTAAGAATACTTTTTGAGTTTTCTCAATGATTTAAACTAGACATTTCATGGAATCATTCATTATTCGTGTCTTGTTATTGATATTGTGCTCTTTTTTTCAATTTCTACAGATAAAAAGTTTATCTCTTTCCTGTATGTAAAAAATATGAAGACAAAGTAACACAGCTAGTTCCCAAAGTTTCAATATTATTGCCTGTGTTTGTCTTATTAGTTTTATATCTAAATGAAACGAATATATACTAGTGAATGAAATACAAGCAGTTTCTACCGAAACTAGATAAATGCAGTTACTAGATCCGATTGTCAGATTCTTGCTTTCAAGCTTCTACTTTTTTCGGAGCTTTTCGATGAATTTTTTTCAGAAATTCGTGGATCCGGATGCCTGAATCTACATTATACTGACTGTGGACTCCGGAAACAATCGAGTTTCACTGGAACCAGTCAGAATATGAACAAAAATCATTGTATCTGACAGGAAAACATCGGAAATCAGTGTAACTTGGCAATAGTGATCTGAGCCGGAAATCGTCCAGATTTTTTCTAATTAATTGTATCTGGTCCCCGATAGAAAGAGCAAACGTTTGGCCTGAAGTCACCAGAAAAAAACGCTGAAACTTTCCGATAAGGAACACTGTTGTCAAGTTTCATCGGTTTTCAGTGTGTTACAGCCGAAACTTGTCCGTAATTTTTGACCTGATGCAGATCAAAGCAAAATTAATAGTTCATTAAAGGTCACTTTCAACGATTATGACTCTGAGTTTGAGTCTATGTTGAATCTCTGCACTCGATAATTTCCATTGTCGACAACATATAAATTGCCTTGTCGATCGAATGTTAAATCTAAAGGACTGGAGAGTTGATTTGCTTGTTCACCTTTACCATTTCCACCAACAACAATACTACCTTGTCTAGCCCCTTGAGGCCAACTCATTATTCGATGATTACTTGCGTCAGAAATATAGATAGTGCCCAACTGATCAACAAACACTCCAAAAGGAGCCGACAATTGTGTCAAACTATTTCCTGGGCCGTTACCACCAGCGACAACAATACCTTCTTTTGCATCTTTCATCCATTTCATCACACGATGATTTTGCTCATCTGATACGTACACTGATTGGTCCTTATCGACGAAAATGTAAAAACGACCACTAAGCTGATTGAGATGATCACCTTCTCCATTCCCACCAGCTACTATTATTCCATTAGTGTCTCCAAGTTTCCATCGTCTTACTTCATGATTTTCACAGTCTCCCACATAGAGATATCCATTGTTGTCCATTGCTAGACCCCAACAGCCAACATTTTGGATGATTGTTTGTCCACGTGTCCTATTTCGACGAGGCCATCGCACTACTCGCCTGTTGCCGTAATCGCAAATAATAAGACAATCATTCTCTTTGTCAACGATTACATCTGTCGGACTATACAACTGATTTGTGGAATATCCTGATCCATTTCCACCCGCAGCTATTTGACCACTAGTCGAACTATATTTCCATTTCACAATACGATGATTCGAGTAGTCAGTCACATATATAGTCTGATTATCATCAACATATAAGCCCCATGGGTTTGACATTTGATTTAAGCCATCGCCACGACCAAATCCTCCAGCAACTGTCGCCCCATTTTGTACCCATCTTGTATTTGAGCCAATTTTTAGATTTTTTACGGATACTACAATATACAACAGGTGTTTATAACAATAGTAAATTATAACTGTGGCTTCCTTATTGATATTAATATTATCCTATCAGAAAAGAAACAATCTATCAAAATATTTTATCATGAGAGCTACTCTTTTTAATTTGCTTGCAGTGACTTAAAATACATATTTAAATCTGTTAATTAAAATCTAAGTCATAAAATTTTCTCATCTTCACATTATTTTGATTATAGTTTTGCATATGACAGTATTCATTACAAAATTCTTCTTTTCATCAACTTTGCTAATTCAGAGTGTAAATTGATTTTTATTTTTTCACTTACAAACTAATCTTTCGTGATACCTACTCGACTTACAAGATGTAACATCAATTGAAAGTGTAGTAATAAGTGGTGTAGTATCTTGTCGAAGATTGATATTTGACGGTTTAGTAAGTTCTTCTTTCAATTGTATCAAATCATTATTCCATCGAAGTAAATCTGTTTCAAAAAAATCGTTTTCGGCACGACTTTGTCGTAATTGATCAGTCAATTGATTCAATCTGCTTTCTAGTTGTTTAATAGATTCAGTAATATGTGTAAATACTAGTTGCCTTGCTTCTTCTGCTTTTTGTCGAATTTTATTGACTGAATCACGTTCCCATGTATCAATATATTGGATTAATGGATGCTTCTGTGGTTTATTTGTTTGTTCAGTAAGTGTTTGTCGAAAGAGATCACGATTAATTTCAACTTCATCAAATTGTTTACTAAGCTCTTGCTTGTGATCACCCAAATGATTAAAACAAAATTCTTGTGCACATCCTCCACACTTAAAAGTAGCTTTTTCTTTGCTACATGTAATGCAGACAGTTCTACCAGGTGCTTTTGCCATATGTTTTGATATTCTTTTATTTCTGTGCTTTATGAAATTAGAGTTTGCAGCAGAAAAGAAAAGAACAACACTGCAATGTTTTACTATTTTATGTCCACTAACGTATCAAAAAAATGAAGTCAAAGAACGCAAATCTGATTGTTTTCCTTTCACAATTGTTGTGCAATCGAACGATGTTTTCATGATAGCATTTACGACATGAATGCAGCAAACCAGGTGATGACTTCGATATACTGTTTTGACAGTTCGCCCGCTATGGTATTTATTCATCACTAAATCGAATACTATTACTAGGGATTCATGTACAACTGCAAATCTTCATCTCGTATATTGCAAAAGACAGAACCTTCAATATACTATTCATTCAGTATAAGGAATTCATTGAGACATTGTTATTTTTGTTTGACACGACATCTATAATAATAATTATGATACGTTTCTCATCTTTAAAGCAAGAATTTCAAGTAATAATAATCTTCGTTAATTTTAAAAGCTAAATTATTCTATGAAATGGAAGTATTTGAAAAGGTTTTGCAACTAGTTGTTCATTGGACATCAGAAACGTTTCCAAATATGGTCACTAATACTCATACGAACATTTTGATCTATTCATCTTTCATTATTCATCAAATTTTATTTTCAAAGTCACAATCTCAAGTCAATCATGCAAGTATGTATTATCTTCTATTCACTAAAGCTTGCATCTGTCTTATGTTCATGTCTTTGTAATGTTCGATCTGTTAACCATAACATATATAATCCATTATTGTAGATAATTTCCTTATAAAGATGTCCTTTAATATAGATATAAATAAACATTCTAACAATTTTATAAAAAAAAACTATTAATTCAACATAATTTATATTAAATTTCATTGTATTTTAAAGTTTACTCGATAATAAAGATATGTGGAGATCATTATTCTATATATAAATAATAAGAATTGAATGATCAGCGAAAGTTTCTTAAAATAAATATTGTGTTTTTGTAAAGTATCTGTTCAGAGGAGCAGATAATTAATGTGAGCCGTTTTTAAAGAAAAAAAAGTATGTTGTACCACATGTGTGTCTTATAATTATGATATTAGAGTATAATAAATAGTTGTAAGTACTAATGAAATAAAAATTTGAAATTTGTTGTCTAAATACTATAATCGATCGTATATGATACATGACCATTCTTAGTAAATTTTCGATCAGTTTTTTTTGATAATACAGTAAAACAAAAAAAGAATCCAGAAAAATCATTAAAACTTTTGCTTATCGTAGTGTTTAATATGACTTCATGTTCTGAATTTCTTTTTAAATCGATTAATTCATCTTGTTGATAAAGCGTTAGTCCTATTATAAATTCTTTTTCGAAGAAAATTTTTCAAAACTACTTCGTGCATTCCAAACTCAATTGATTTCTCATGTTCACTGTGACATACATGAACTAAAACATTTGTTAACGATATACCTTTAAAAATCAATGTTATAGAGATCTTTGTTCCAAGAAGTTATCATTGAAGAACGAGGATTAAAAAGAACATTGACTTTCATTTCATGCTGTCTAGTTTAAAAAAAACTCCGAATTGAGATAAAACTAAATAGTCATTCTGTAGATAACTCTTGAGGCTACGAAATTTTGAACATGGGTAGCTTTTTCAAAACAAAAATCAATTAACTTTTCTTTAGAATCTCTAAAAAATTGACTTTCAAGAGGAAGTTTTTCGAATTTTTTTCTCGTATAATTAGAGAACGAACATATTTACATATGTCTATACTAATAGAACTTCTTAAGAAAAATCAACCTTATAAAGAATCAAAGTAAAATGCTATATGGATAGGTTCTGTTTTACTTGAAATGATCCATGAATATAAGTAAATTAAAATAAAGTTTATTTTGTATGTGTTTCCAAAATTGCTTGTTATTATTTATAATCGAATATAAATTATATTTCATTTTAGGATCCAAATGCTGATACACAATGGAATGATCAATTACGTCGTTTTAATATAATTGAACCAAAAGAAGAAATAAAAACTGAAGACGAACGAATAGAAATTAGTCGAGGTAAATAAATTAAAACTAGACAATTTCATATAAGTTCGTAATCTTATTTTTCATTATAGCTGAAAAGTTAAATAAGAAAACATTAGATGAATTAGATGAACTTGAAGATGAAGAAGATGAACGTGTACTACAAGAATATAGGTACACGCTTCTATTGTCTTTTTTTTATCTAAATTAATTTTTTTTTTGTTTTAGACGAAAACGATTATTAGAATTACAAGAAAAAGCAGCTCGTTCTCGATTTGGAGAAGTTATTGAAATTTCAGCAGTTGATTATGTTAAAGAAGTTAATCAAGCTGGTAATGATATATGGGTTGTACTTTATCTTTATAAATCAGGGTAAATAAAAAAGAAAAAGAAACTATGAAGTTTTAAATATCTAATGTATTTATAGACTTCCAATATGTTCATTAATTGCTGATCATCTTCGTTCACTTGCATTAAAATATCCTCAAACAAAATTTGTTAAAAGTATATCAACTGTTTGTATACCAAATTATCCGGATAAAAATTTACCAACAATATTTATTTATAATAATGGTGAACTTAAACATTCATTGATTGGTCCATTTGCATTTGGTGGTATGAATTGTCGTTTTGAACATTTAGAATATAAATTATATGAATTTGGTGCAATTGAAACAAAAGGAAAATTAGAAAAACCAGATGATATGAAAACTTATGGAATGAATGATGCAGCTGATGAATTTCTTCGATCATCAATTCGTCAAAGTATGAAAAATACAAGTGATGACGATGATTAATTGATTGATTAAATGAATTTGTTTGTTGTTTTTCTTTTATCTCGTTGTTATTGCATGATTTTGTTTAAGTTTGCTGTGTGACACATTTTGTTTTGCTGTTTTTTTTTTTTACTGATCAAACATTTTCTATTACAATATATATACAATGGTTTCATTTTTTTTATTCAACAAAATATTTTTATAAACATAATATTCAAGGTTTGAGTTCAACATGCTAAAAGCTGTCGCAATCAGTCTTGTTTATGAAGCGAATATTTCTCATACATTTCTTTTTCAACATGATGTTCAAACTAATTTTTTTTGGACTTTTCAAAGATTATTTTACTACTCTTGAATAAAATTTCGAAGTCTATATTCGAACACGATAAAAAGTTATAGTTTTTGATTCATCGGAGATAATTATTAACATCTTGTTTAAAAACTTTCCGATCATCTCTTATGGAATGAACTGCAACTATCACGTACTTTAGAAGAAAAAAAACTTCTGTGACATGTATTCGACGATGAACAGTATGAAATAGGTCATTTATCTATCATTTGATCAAGCCTAGATGTGAAAGTGTTCAGAGCCATGTTGCTCATATCTAACTAAGACACTCGAAGTCTTTCGTTAATGAATTAGAAATATAATCAGTCTTCATCAGTTGTGGTCATTCGTAGAGTTAACTATGATGTAAAATTAAAGACACTATGATTACGAATTCATGCAATGGTAAATAATGATAAAAATAAACGTTTGCACATTTTATTTGAAAGTATAATTATCGTTATAAATAAAAGGAAATTGCTCTCTTTTTATTGTCATGTTGATAAATACTTGGCTAGTAATTAATTAATAGCTATGGCAAGCTTAATATATCATCTATTATGACTTTCAATCATAAGTTCTTTGTAATGTCTTCCTGTTTTTATTGACGTACTTTTTTATTAATAATTTCACAGGTCTACTGAAGAAATCTTGCCATAGAACGAATGAAATAGACTAATCAATAGTCATACAGTCCGACACTATTAAAACGAACATTACCGTTAGCAGAAACGCTAGACAAATGCTTCTGATTAATGTGTCTAGGTGTAGATATTTGACTTCTTTTTCTGCGTTCACACCTTCTAATTAGTCTTAATTTCTCAATAAAACATTAACAAATCCTTCATCGTATTACATTCATATAAAAATAAGTTTTTTATTCATTTCTGTAATATACCTATCACAATCATATTAGGTCAATATTTTTATTGAACCGTTAGCATTATTATTTTTTATTCTGATTTTCACTTTTCTTTACACTCGTATGACCTATTTACGTCAAAGTCTCAATAATGCCGATAGTTTAATCGAGCACATACATAGAGATAGAGAAAAAATTCTTTTTTTTTTTTTTGCGTGCATATAATAAAAAAAAAATCAAATTCTAATTGATGTTGTTTTAAGAAAAATGAGTTTCGATATTATTGTTGAACTAAAAAACTAATGACGTCATTAGTCAACACTAAATTAGTTGATAAATATTCAAAATACGTTAAAACAATTAGAAATCGAATTGTTGAAGGTTTGCAATAGATATTTATTTAAATAATCAATATAATAAATTTATTTAGTTGAATTTTATTGGTTTCAAGTAAATCCTCGTCAAAGTTATCGATTACGAATTAATGAAAAAGAATTTAATGAAGTACAAAAACATATGCGTTCAAAAAGTAATTAAGAGAATAATATTATTATATAGTTGAAACAAAATTTATTTTAGAATTATTAAATCTAAATTTTGAACATTTTACTGATTTAATTACACCTATATTTGCTAATGATGCTGCTGAATTTAGTAATTTTGTATTACGTTCAACTTTTGATAATTTATTTGATCTAAATTCTAATGGAACAGTTGAACAAGAAGAATTTGAATCACTTTTTTTGTTACTTCAAGGTTTTAATACCAAAAAACAAAACTTATTACAAGAAAATCTTCGTCAAATGCTTGGTAATCGACATAAACATATTTCGTTTACAGGTATTAATATTTTAAAAAACAAGCATCTACGATATTTTTTTTTTTTGAATTTAGAATTTTGTGATTTTGTCAAATCTGGTCATCTGCGTCAATTATTTATGAGTTAGAACATTTTTATATAATCAAGGCTTTTTTTGTTTTTTCGTTATCTTTTCAATATAAATAAATACA